GAATAAGTAGAAGAGCTTACCCTTGGGTTGAGCTCACTAGAAGATACCAAAAGAGGAGGATCTCCAGAAGAGATCCTTCCCCTCTGGTAGCCAGCTCTTAAATAGGTCCAGGAGGGGTGGAGCCTGGCTCCACCCCTTCCGGCAGCACAGGTGAATTGCCTTCACCTGTGCTCCTCTGGCTGACTCAAGGCTCACCTCAGGTGATTAATCAGAGGTTCAGGCCGTGACTCAGCAGTTCCCATACACTAGGATAAATTATTTAATTAATATTTAATACATGTGTAAACATTACATTAATATTTTCTGCAACTGAAGGAGAGGAACTAGTGGATATAGTGGATATGAACATATGACAGACCTGTGAAATACCTCAGCCAAGATGAGAGAAGAAAGAAGCCACCTGAGGCATGCTGTGAATAGAAAAGATGGGAAAGCAGTGGAGAAATTTTGTGAATTAAGTATCAACTGTATTAAGCTTGAAGAACATCTGTGCCCATTAAGAAGATGGGCATAAAATTAATTATAATTTATTCAGATTTTATTGACTCATTTTTCTATTGGCTGATTTTTATAAGTAATAACACATAATGAAGACAAATAAATAAAGATGTGAGCACAATGGAAAAAAACTACAGTTTTTTTGTTATAAATATAGGCTATTGCTCATTGCTACACTCTTCATTGTTGGCTAAGCTAAAAACCTGCAGAATGACTGGGTAATGAGATGGCTGAAACTGCTTGACTGTATCTGCAGTAAGTGTTGTTATCTTTGACTTTCAAATGAAGGTTTCTGAACTACTTCTACTGCCATCCTGGCATCTCCTCCACAAGACTAGGAGACAGATTCACATGTAAAACCTATGTTAAGAAAAGCTACGACCTCTACCACTGTAGTACTTCTGAAATGAATGCTAAAAGCAAAAAAGACACATAGGTAGCTCTATTTTCTCCTGTATTTGTTACTCTGCTGGGCTGTGCAAGCCCTCAGGAAAGCAGGAAATGTGCTCTGAGAGCAAAGAAGCCTTAGAAAAGCATCTGTATAAATGCAATAACAAGATGTATCCTTCACACATCCCTTAGTATACACAGGAAAATCATGTGCAGTATCACACAGAAATTCACCTGCCTCCACCTGAAGTTTGTCCCTAGTTCGGCTGCATACATACATACACACCTACAAACCTCTCATCCAAAGAGGTTTCTACTGTGCTAAGCAATGTATCTTCCTGGTTTCCTACTCCTATCCTCTCAGCTTATTTCAGTGGCCCAACATCTTGTATTTCTTAACAGAATTGTTAATCAAACAGGAGAAAAAAACAAAACAAAACTTTCCTGGACTCTTTCTAAGATATGAACAACAAATTATGTTATTCACATGGACAGCCTAAGCAAGAGTGGTGCTTTTCTTGTGCTGAGTGACCTGTAAGAGGAGAGTAGTTGCTGGATTAGCAATATCCTTCTGAAAAGCACTTATTGTCAGGCTGGATATGTTGGATGCTATTGGCATGCTCAGAGATGTTTGGATGCTCCTCAGCTATTTTTCATTCTGTAACATTCCCAGAGGTGTTAAAATTTACTGTATCAGAGCATTCTAGATGTAGGTTTATTATCATCTTAGATGGCAGGAAACCACTGAGAGGTGCTCTTAAAAGTGCTCATCATTAACAATAGCTTTAAGAAGAGTAGAAAACTCTGTATGCAGGCAGCAATCGAATTTGTCTTCTGTTTATTATGACTTCCTATGTTACCAAAGGTGCTTCTTTGCAAAATACAAAGAACAGGATGTGAATACTGAAGTCTCAGTGAGTATACTTCAAGGAAGAAGCATTTTAATCTCAAAGTGGCAGCTCTGTCTTTTATCTGTAACAGAGAAGGAGCTCATAATCCTAGCGGGGTTGCTGCAACTTTCTGTCTCCTAATGGACTATAGAAGAGCTGAGTTGAGCACTTGCTTTTCCAACAGGATAGAACAAGAGCTTAAAACACTGACTTTTTCCTTAAAGTGATAAAAAAAGCCCTACACAGCAAATGGAAAACATCTCCTCAGTATGTACCTAGACTTTTTAACCACTTTTTGTGAACACCTAAAATAAGCTGTTGAGAATGGACTTCTTCCATACCAGTTTTCTTCCAAATGTTTGTTGAAAATTGGTGTTGGCTGCTGCAAAGACAAATAAATCTGGCTTGGCTTTTTTCAAATTTACATGCAAGAAATAACCTCAAACTCACTGCAGTACTCCTTGTAGGTAAGAAATGCATATTAAGTTAAAATGATTTTAAATTAGTGTCAATTAGGAATTAAATGATCTATCCAAAATCACGCAGGCACTGTGAGTTTGAAATGGAGCTCCCACACCGTGGTTGTGTCCTGTCTCAGCTGCCACTGAGAGACATTAGCATTCTAACATTCATTTTCTGCAAATACAGATGACTAGGCAAGGCATGTGGCCATGGCTGATGTGTATTAAGCACTGCATCACATAACATCTCTTGTCCCAAAGGTACTGTTTGCATAAGAAGGCAGTGACAGAGCTCCATCTCAAAGACAGGATGCTCTATGGAAGCTAAGATACACTGAGCTCACTATTTTTAGTTTATTAAAGCTATCTGTTATGTTTTATTATTGTCCTCAATTCTCTAGTCTCCTCTGAGATTTGTTACTCTACTCTTTGGAAATAAGAGTAGCACACTATGATTTCTCCACCTTCTTTGTCCCTGGCATGTAAGACTAACTTTTTTGGTTTATGGCAGATGCCTAATGCAGAGCAGTTGGTCAAGGTAATACTGAGTCTGGTGTCCTTATCAAGAAACTCCTTACTGATCTTCAAGGGTAAAGGAAATTTATCAGGCTAGAGAGTGCAGAGAAGGAAGCAGAGAGAGGAAGGCATAGTCTGGGGAGTCTGTTTCCAATTTGTCTGAATCTTTCTCTTTCTTTTCACTATGAACCCCTGAAGCTTAATATTTGAAAATTATTACAATTAAAATAGAAAAGTTGTCATGCATACATCTTAAGGCACATGCTATTTAAAGTCACAAATATTTTTTTTCTGCCTACTTAATTTTGCCACCTTTGTGGCGGCTTAGACTAGTTTCAGAAAATCACATGCCTTATCATGTTCCATCTTTTTACCAAGTTTTTTCCTTCTTTTATAAAAGAAATACATTTAGAGAGCTCAAGTAAGAAGATACGTAAACTAGCTGCCCAGTCATAACCATAAACTCATCTGCATTGACACAGACTTTATCAGATGGTGCTCTATCCTTTCTGTTCCACACATATCCCAAGATTCAAACTTTGTAGTTTTGTGATGTATGTTGGGTGGAACGGGTGGGAGGTCTCTTCTAGTACATAGTCAGTCTTGCTCCATGTTCTGGGCCTTTCTCTTCTGGGCAAAAGACAGTGGGGTCAAATAGCAGCCTTCAAACAGTTCCTTAGAGGGTACGGTGCTGTGAGACTGGCTGGGATGCACATGTTGAAAAGCAGCATATAGGTACTGCACATCCAATTTAGTGCAAGTCAGCTCCTTCTACACAGGCCCCAGTATACTTGGGTTCGGAGAGCATTAATCTGTGTGCAAAGGCAAGACTTCATCTAGAGGGATTCACTAGGTTGTAAGCATCAATCCTTACCTTTTTCTATTTGTACAACTGCTCTGTTTTTAGGTCGTCCGTTTACCCTGGAGGATCTGATGGCACTGGCAGCTGTACTGAGTTTACCTGTTCTCTCCTGAGTTGTTTGTCCTTAATCAAACCTTAAAAATTGAGCCAAGAGTATTGCTTCATGTTAGACAGTTTGATTAATGAGAATAAATCATAAATGGAGAAGTAATATATGCACAATGGGGAATAAAAACTGCAGATCAGTGAAATCTAGCCAAGTACATTTTCTAGCCATGTTTTATATCCTGAGATACGAGAGATTTAAAACTCTCCTGAGAAGCGGTAGTTTTTTCCTCTTAGTAAAAATTGATTACTACAGGCAAAATTAAGTACTGGCAATGCTTTCCAGGACATTTCTTTTTGTATTAGTAACTCTTCCTTCATGTAATCTTCAGGAAAGAAAAAAAAAAAAAGAAAAAAGAAAAAAAAAAAGTGTATTTTTCTTTTAGGTAGAAAGCTAGCATTAAGAATATCTTCTTTACCTGGGAAAGCCAGGTACCACCCACATGGAAGTGTGCTTTACCACATTTCAATTGCCCTAGCATTATAAGCTTGTATGTTCACACGTCTCTAAAAAGAATTGTTCTGCATATAAATTTAATTACTACGCTGACCTGAACTTTTTTCACCAGGATGTTCATGCCAACACTCAGACTGTAGCATAGCTTCTAAATGCTGCAAGTCGCCTCTAGTGCACCCATTCTGTGCAGGATCGATGAAACTACACTTCCTAGGTGCACTGTATCAGTAAATCAAGAGTGAATTAATTTTTTTCCCCTCTCAGTCTTTTCTGCCTGAACGCTGGCCCCTCCCCTCATGTCGGTTTCCCACTCCAGGCAATGCTTTGGGGAAGAAAGTACAAGCACCCCTCCGCCCGCTGTATTTAAATTCCCTCCTTTCTGCTCAGCTTTCCGCCCAGGGAAGCGCAGCGGCGAGGCGGATGGCTCCGCTCGCCTGGGAGCGGCTAACCTGGCTGCTCTTACAGGAGGGCAGGAGGGGAAGAGCAGGAGCAGCCGCTCTCCCCGCAGCCTCTTTTTTTATGCGGGCTGCCCCTTTCCGCTCAGCCAGCGCAGCCTGCCCCGAGCGGCGGGCCGATCGCCTCCATCCAGCCGCATTTGGTATGCATGAGCACTGCCGTTCCCACGCAGGAGCCCGCTGTCTTAAGGAGGCTCGGTGGCGGCGCGGAGCCGCCCGCCCAGCCCCTGCCCGCGCCCGGCGCGCCCTGCCCTGCCCTGCGGCACCGCGGGCGCGGGCGGCTGCGTGTGGGATGCCCGCGCCCCGGCGGCGGCTGCCGCGGTAGGCGCTGCGGGCTGTGCGGCTGCTCCGCCGGCGGGACTCGCGGGGGGTCATGAATCAGACGGACGCTCCCCGGCCGCTCAACTGGACCATACGGAAACTGTGCCATGCCGCCTTCCTGCCGTCCGTCCGGCTGCTCAAGGTACGGTGACGCCCTGCTCGGAGCGCCGGTGCCCGCCGGGCAGCATCTGTCCGGAGCACCGCAGGCGATGCTGCTGGAAACTTACTGCAGCAATAGTCCCAACTTTCCTTTTAATTACTTCCTCTGCTACCTAGACAACCCCTTGTGACTACCTGAAGATGCTTAAATTGCCTTTCTGTACTCCAGCACGTTTATCTACTGAAAAAGGCTTGGGAGGGGGTGGAGAGGGAGCAAGTAATGATAGGTATCATCCGTGCTTCCATTTGCCTTATCTGAGAAAGACCAAGCAGTGAACTTGTAGGGAAGGAGCAGGAATTCATTTCTAAGGCGTGTTCCTTTGTGAGCAGTCTAATGCAGTCTGCTCCTCGGGTCCTTACCCCCCTTAGAAATAGGCAGCACTTCTCTGACCAACCTGTAACTGGAACCATGTGTGAGTGGACTCAGCTACCTGGGTTGGCTGAAAGCTCTATAGGAAGAGGGTCATTCAAAAATCGGCAGTGCAGACAGAAATGGTGAAACTTTCTGATGATGATTTTGTTTGTTTGCTTAAACCAAGTGGCGCGATTTTGAATGAAGGTGCTTTCTCAGATGGCAATTATTTTAAAAATTATTCGGTATAACAGTGCAGGGCTCCAGATCTTGGCACAAAGTGTCACTACTACTCCACGTCCCACTGAAGCTTTTAATACAAAAGCATTTGTAATGGGAACACAGAATATCACAAATCAACTTTTGGAGGAAAATAAATGTTTCATTAAACTGCTCAGTCTTCTTTGTTCTTGGAACTTCTTGATAAATTGGATTATACAATGAAAATTTAAAGAATGTAGTCAGGATTTTTAGGCTTCTGCACCAGTAGTATGTTAAAATCCCGGATTCATGCCTTTTATTATCCCTCTCATCTTGATAGTTTGGCTTTGGAATTAATTGGCTTTGGAATTAATTGGCTTTGGAATTAATTGGCTTTG